TTGGCTAGAACTTACAATACTATACTGAATAGGAGTGGTGAGAGAGGGTATCCTTGTCTAGTGCCAGATTTCAAAGGGAATGCTTCTAGTTTTTGCCCATTCAGTATGATATTGGCTGGAGGTTTGTCATAAATAGCTTCTATTATTTTGAGGTATGTTCCTTTGATACCTAGTTGATTGAGAGTTTTTAGCATCAAGGGCTGTTGAATTTTGTCAAAGGCATTCTCTGCATCTATTTATTTAATCATGTGGTTTTTGCCTTTGTTTCTGTTTATGTGGTGGATTACATTTATAGACTTGCATATGTTGAACCAGCCTTGCCTCCCCAGGATGAAGCCTACTTGATCGTGATGGATAAACTTCTTGATGTGCTGTTGCAATCATTTTGCCATTATTTTATTAAAGATTTCTGCATTGATGTTCATCATGGATATTGGCTTGAAGTTTTCTTTTTTTGTTGAGTCTCTGCTGGGTTTTGGTATCAGGATGATGTTGGTCTCACAAAACGAATTGGGAAGGATTCCCTGTTTTTGTATTGTTTGGAATAGTTTCAGAAGAAATGGCACCAGCTCCTCTTTGTATGTCTGGTAGAATTCAGCTGTGAACCCATCTGGACCTGGGCTTTTTTTGGTTGGTAGGCTATTAATTCCTGCCTCAACTTCAGCCCTTGTTATTGGTCTGTTCAAGGTTTCAACTTCTTCCTGGGTTAGGCTTGGGAGAATGCAAGTGTCCAGGAATTTGTTCATTTCTTCCAGGTTTACTGGTTTATGTGCATAGAGTTGTTTGTAGTAATCTCTGATGGTAGTTTGTATTTCTCTGGAATCAGTGGTAATATCTCCTTTTTCATTTTTTATTGCATCTGTTTGATTCTTCTCCCTTTTCTTTTTTTATTAATCTGGCTAGCATTCTGTCTATTTTGTTGATGTTTTCAAAAAACCAGCTCTAGGATTTATTGATTTTTGAAGGGTTATTTGTGTCTCTATCTCCTTCAGTTCCACTCTGATGTTAGTTATTTCTTGTCTTCTGCTAGCTTTTGAGTTTTTTGATGTTGCTCCTCTAGATCTGTCAATTTTGACAATAGGGTGTTGACTTTAGATCTTTCCTTGCTTCTCTGGTGGGTATTTATTGCTATAAATTTCCCTCCAGACACTGCTTTGAATGTGTCCCAGAGATTCTGGTACATTGTGTCTTCATTCTCATTGGTTTCAAAGAACACCTTTATTTCTGCCTTCATTTCATGTTTAGCCAGTCGATGTTCAGGAGCAGGTTGTTCAGTTTCCATGAAGATGTGCAGTTCTGAGTTAGCTTCTGAATTCTGAGTTATAATTTACTAGCCCTGTGGTCTGAGAGACTGTTTGTTATGATTCCCATTCTTTTGCATTTGCTGAGGAGTAATTTACTTGCAATTATGTGCTCAATTTTAGAGTAGGTGCAATGTGGTGCTGAGAAGAAGGTATATTCTATTGATTTGGAGTGGAGATTTCTGTAGATGTCTATTAGGTCCGCTTGGTCCAGATCTGAGATTGAATCCTGGATATCCTTGTTAATTTTCTGTCTCATTGATCTGTCTAATATTGGCAGTGGTGTGTTAAAGTCTCCCACCATTATTGTGTGGGAATGTAAGTCTCTTTGTAGGTCATTAAGAACTTGCTTTATGTACCTGGGAGCTCCTGTATTGGGTGTGTATATATTTAGGATCATTAGCTCTTCTTGATGCATTGATCCTTTTACCATTATGTAATGTCCTTCCTTGTCTTTTTTGATCTTTGTTGCTTTAAAGTCCATTTTATCAGAGACTAGAATTGCAACTCCTGATTTTTTTTCTTTCTATTTGCTTGATAAATCTTCTTCCATCTTTTTATTTTGAGCCTATGTGTATCCTTGCAAATGAGATGGGTTTCCTGAATACAGCACACCTACAGCTCTTGACTTTTTATCCAATTTGCCAGTCTGTGTCTTTTGATCGGGGCATTTAGCCCATTTACATTTAAGGTTAATATTGTTATGTGTGAATTTGATCCTGCCATTTTGATGCTGGCTGATGTTTTGCCCATTAGTTGACACATTTTCTTCATTGTGTTGATGGTCTTTACCATTTGGTCCAATTTGGTGTGGCTGGTACTGGTTGTTCCTTTCCTTGTTTAGTGCTTCTTTCAGGATCTCTTGTAAGGCAGGCCTGGTGGTGATGAAATTGTTCAGCAATTGCTTTTCTGTAAAGGATCTTATTTCTCCTTCTCTAATGAAGCTTAGTTTGGCTGGATATGAAATTCTGGGTTGAAAGTTCTTTTTTTTAAGGATGTTGAATATTGGCCCCAATTCTCTTCTGGCTTATGGGGTTTCTGCTGATAGATTTGCTGTGAGTCTGATGGGCTTCCCTTTTGGGTAACCTGATATTTCTCCCTGGCTGCCCTTAGCATTTTCTCCTTCATTTCAACCCTGATGAATCTGATGATTATGTGCCTTGGGGTTGTTCTCCTTGAGGAATATCTTTGTGGTGTTCTCTGTATTTCCTGTATCTGAATGGCAGCCTGCCTTGCTAGGTTGTGGAAGTTCTCCTGGATAATATCCAGAAGAGTGTTCAGCGTGGATTCATTCTCTCCATCACATTCAGGTACACCTATCAAACATAGATTAGGTCTTTTCACATAATCCCATATTTCTTGGAGGCTTTGTTCATTTCTTTTTGCTTTTTTTTCTCTGTTCTTGGCTTCTCATTTTATTTCATTGAGTCGATCTTCATTCTCTGATATCTTTTCTTCTGCTTGGTCGATTCGACTATTGAAACTTGTGCATACTTTGTGAAGTTCTCATGCTGTGTTTTTCAGCTCCATCAAATCGCTTATATTCTTCTCTGAGCTGTTTATTCTAGTTAGCATCTCATCTAACTTTTTTTCTAGGTTCTTAGTTTCTTAGCATTGGGTTAGCATATGTTCTTTTAGTTCTGAGAAGTTTGTTATTACCCACCTTCTGAAGCCTGCTTCTGTGAATTCATCATATTCATTCTCCATCTATCTTTGATCCCTAGCTGGTGAGGAGCTGTGATCCTTTGGAGGAGAGGTGTTCTGGTTTTTGGTGTTTTCCTCCTTTTTGTACTGGTTTTTTCCCATCTTCATGGCTTTATCTACCTGTGGTCTTTGTAGTTGGTTCCTTTCAGATGGGGTCTCTGAGTGGATGTCCTTTTGGTTGATGTTGAAGCTATTTCTTTCTGTTTGTTAGTTTTCCTTCTAAACGTCAGGTCCCTCTGCTGCAGGACTGCTAAAGGTCCACTCCAGACCCTGCTTGCCTGGGGATCACCCATGGGGGCTGCAGAACAGTAAGGGTTGCTACCAGTTTCTTCATCTGTTATCTTTATCCCAGAAGCATACCTGCCAGATGTCAGCCTGAGTTCTCCTTTATGAGGTGTCTCTTTGGGTATATGGTGGTCAGGGAGCTGCTTGAGGAGACAGTCTGTCCCTTATAGGAGCTCAAGTACTGTGCTTGGAGCTCCATTGTTTCATGGAGAGTTGCTTGGCAGGTACCTTTAAGTCTGTTGCAGTCGAACTCATAACTGCCTCTTTTCCCAGGTACTCTGACCTATGAAGGTTGGCTTTATTTATAAGTTCCTGATGTGCTGTTGCCTTTTTTTCAGAGATACCCTGCCCTACACAGAGTAGTCTAGTCACAGTCTGCCAGCAGAGGCATTGCTGAGCTGCCACAGTCTCTGCCCAGCTTCTGTGTAAACTGCCATGGTAGTGGTGGACTGCCTCATTAGTGGAGGACGGCCTTTCCCTATTGAGCTGGACCATCCCAGGTCCAGCTGCACTTGCTGTGAAACTCTCAATCCAGAGAGTTTTAGATTGCTTGTTTTTGTGAGGGTGTTACCCACCAAGCCGGATCACTTGGATCCCTCTCTCAGCCCCCTCCCTTTCAGTTGAATGGGAGGCTCTGTCTCCCATGCATTCCAGGCACCAGTTGAAATGGCTGCCCAAATTTGTGTGAGTTTCTTTGCAACAACCCGCAGCACCAGCCATGCTGAAAACTCATTGTGCTTTTTGGCCCAGGAATCTCCTGGTCTGTGGGCAGTGAAAATTTGTTTGGAAATGCGTTGAGCACTCGCCCTCTGCATTGTTCTTGCTGGGACTGTACTCTGTAACTTTTCCTATTCAGCCATCTTGGATCCTCTACTCTGTCCTTTCTTTTTTAATTAAATTTCTTCATATTAATATACTCTCTTACTACTATTTTATTGGTTACCCTAAAAGTTACTGCATGCATCCTTGACTTTTTATACCCTAAAATAAATTATTACATTTACAACTTTCCCACTAAAACTTTAAAACATTTAATTCTATTTGCAACCCCTTTTGGAAAGCCAATTCTCAATATCTCATAAAATAGAAAATGCGCACAACAGCAATTTCTCTTCAGTGTCTAAACTTAGATCAACTCTTACAAATGTACACAAAGAGACATCAGCAAGCCTATTCATTACTGCATTAGACTAGTGAAAAAGTGGGAGTCAACAACATATCCATTAATTGGATGATAAATAAACAATGGTACATTCATAAAATAGAATCATAAAATAAAATAGCAAACTAAAATGCATTAAATAGATACAAAGACAAATCTAAAGAACACAATTTTTGATGAAAAAGTAAGTGGTAGAAGAGTATGTATAAAATGATACATAAATTTGAGAAATAGATGTGTATAGAGAAGCACATAAGCAGTAAAGATGTACAAACATGCATGAGAATGATTCACTCTGACTTCAGAAGAGTGATTACCTGTGAAAAAGAATGGAGAGGAATGGGATAAAGGAGGAGTACAGAAGTTTTTACAAGCACTTATATGTTGAAAATATTGACACAATGATGGCAAAGTGCTCATATTTGTAAAATTGGCACAAATCATATATAGGTATATAATTCCTTATATATTATTTCAAGTATATCATAAGTACATACAATAAGACTGTGAAAAATTTTTGAAATGATACAATATAAAAATAAATCTACCTGCAAGTGCAGTTGCCATAGTGGGTGTTAATATAAACTGATTTTCTAAATATATAGGCAAAAATTCAGAAGCTCCAATCATAAACAAAGATTCTGCAGCTTTCAATAGAGCTAAGCATATGAGCACTGGATTCTTCATCAGAATCTGAAATAAAAATTTTATATATCAATTATTTTATTAGATAAAGAGGAATAGATAGAATCAAATGCTAATGATCTGTCTATTAAAATTACCATTCCCAGTCTAAACTGAAAAGATGATAGATAGATAGATACATAGATACATAGATAGATGGATGATATGTAGAGATCCAAACAGCAATATATGATGAAACAATATACAAATTCTATAAAAGACAAATAGGTTTTGAGAATTTCAATTTTGATTTTCTAGTCATACCACTTATAATTTTTATTTATGAGCTTGGAAGTTTGTTGGACAGATTAGAGAAAAATTGAGGTCATTAACCAGATATCTAGAATTTCTCTTTACTTTGGCTTGCCTACTTATTTTTTTAAGCAAGTGTTTCTTATTCAACTAAATATAAAACAAAGAAAATGTAAGCAATATTCAAGAAGAAAGAGTGGGACTGCAGAAAATATTCATATTTTACTCCTCAAAGCCCATCCATATAAAGAATGAAATTATTTAAATTTTGCATTTTAGCAAACTTGTCGAACTTATTTAGATGTGATGGTTTGTCTATATCTATTATACTATACAGAGTAATTAACAACATAGTAAAATATTAACTTTCAAATTAGTTACTGTATTTTCTTGGTTATCCATATGTCACTGAAAATATATTTATTGCTATTTTATGTTTGCATATTTTTAATTACTTTAAATTTTTTCTGGCCCTAAACTTCCCCTGTTAGGTGTAATCATATTCTGCAAATTTCAACTAGTTCAGCTTCTGAGTGCTATCTAATTTTATGAAGTGTGATTCTGCCATATTTTTTCATTCCCATAGGATTTAATACTGTCTTGCCTTCAAATGCCTACTATCACTAACTAGGCTACATTAAACATCCCTGTGTATGTACCTTAAGGTCCAATGATAGAGTGTCTCTAAGAAGTATATATCCTAGAATGGAATTCCTAGGGGATAGGGATTTAGCATACTTTATTCCACTGTTTCTCTAGATTGTTCTTCAGAATGTATCAGGTTACTCTACAATGACTACACCAGCACAATGATGGTAGTGTTCCATTTTCTTCATTTAGCTTGTACTTTCTAAAATTTATCAAAGCAATATTTCTGGTTTAGCATGCCCATGCAGAACTATGTCCTTTTCCCATTAAAAGTCATTAAACTTGGAAAGGCCTTCTAACTGTCTCAATGAAGTGAATAATGCTATATGACTTCTGAGGATGGATTGTAAAATGAAAATATGGCTTCTGCTGGGGTTTTTCACGCTTGAGAACTCTTGCCTTGGAGCTCAGTTACCATGTTGTAAAAAGCGCAGGACAGATGCAAAGGATATGTGTGGGTAGTCTAGCAAACAGACAGTATAAAAAACTAACATTTGAGCAAACAAGCCTTCTGATGGTTCCATTCTCCAGACTTTGATCACTCTAGCTCAAGGATCCCCCAGCCTCCATAGAAACAGCAGGAGCTCAGTTCATGGCCTGTTAGGAACCAAGCCACACAGCTGGAGGTGAGTGGCAGGTAAGAGAGCCAAACTGTGCTCTGCCTCCTGTTAGATCAGCAGCAGCATTAAATTCTCATAGGAGCACAAACCCTATTGTGAACTGCACGTGAGGGATCTAGGTTGCACAATCCCCATGAGAATTTAACACCTGTTGATCTGTCACTGTCTCCCATCACCCCCAGATGGGATAGTCTAGTTGCAGGAAAACAAGCTCAGGGCTCCCACTGATTCTACATTATGGTGAGTATGTAATAATAATAGAAATAAAGTGCACAATAAATGCCATGAGCTTGAATCATCTTAAAGCCAGTGCCCCCACCCGGGAAAATATTTCTTCCATGAAACTGACCCCTAGTGCCAAAAACGTTGATGACCACTGCTCTAGTTGACCCCAAGCATAGTTGATAGGACAAGTCCTGTCCAAACTGCATTTTCATGAGCAAAATATATTTTATATTGTTTTAAGTCATAAGTTATGGGATAGTTTATTATGTAGCAGTAGATAACTACAATACCTCACATAATCACAAACACTTGATATTATTAGCTGGCTTTCAAAATGTTGCTATTGTGACCAGTATAAAGTAGTACCACAATCCTTTATTTCCTATTTCTCTAATTTCCAATCTAACTGAGGCTTTATTTCCATCATTCTTAGCGATTTGGGATTCTTTTTGAGTGCATGAACTGGCTCGTTCTATCTCTTAGGCTTTGTGAAATTTGGGGGTAGATTTTCTAAAAATTCATTGTTTATTCTAAATATTAATCACTTGGATTTAGATATCTGTCACCCATCTATTAATGGGGTCTACAGTTTCTTTCATAGAACACAAATCCTTGACTTGATATATCTAATCCATAAAGTTTGAATTCATATTTAATACTATTGCAATCTTGTTTAACGTATTCCCACCTCTATGTCACAAAGCTATTTATTTCATTTTTAACACTAATTGTGTTGTTTTATCTAATCACATTTTATTAACCTGGAAATCACCTTTGTATATAATATGAGGTAGAAATCCATCTTCATTTTTCACAAATAGCCAAATTGGCTATCACGCCTACTGAACTTTACAGTGCCACTTTGATCACACAGCAAGTTCCCGTGTGTAATATTTAGTCTGTTGCTGAATTCTCAGTTATGTTACATTTATCTATTAATATATGTCATGGAAGTGCTACACTGTTTTTACTACTGTGGTTTTTGTAGTGAGTCTTAGTATGAAATAGGTCTGGTGCTCTTTGTTTTAGCTATCCATGCCCTTATTCTGCCATACAAATTTTATAATCTGTTTATCATTGACTAAAAAATAAAATACTTGCCACAGTATTGATTATACTTGCAATGGATTCATAGATTATTTAAGAAAAAACTCACCTAGATGAAGATTGTCATTTCAAACATTAGCATGACATATCTTTCAATCTATCCCAGTCATCTTTAATAATGTTGCATAAAATTTTAATTATTTCATGAAGTTTTATAGCATCTGTTAAATAAATTTCTGAATTACAGTTTTGTGATTACTTTATACTCTATTTTTACTTTAATTTTAAATATAGATGATTATGTTTATTTTACAGTTTTTTATTTTACTTTTATTTTCTATTTATTTAATGTAGTACATTCAAATATTAATCAATTAGAGAATTACAGCTTTCTTCATAGGTTTTTCTAGTTCACAAATGTTATATGTTCATTTATTTTAAATGGGTTTTTCTAGTTCACAAATGTTATATATTCATTTATTTTAAAATAATTATTGAGAACTGAATAGTAAGCACACTTAACCCTAATAAGAGTTTATATTCTATTATTTTATATGAAAATATCAGTCTGCATGATTTTGGAGCATCAATAAGCAAATCACAGTTTCTCTGTATCTCATTTTTAGGAATTTTAGGAAGTATTACATTACAGTAGGCAGATTTCTGGATTTAGAGTCAAATGCAACACTCTTTCTTATGCTCTTATCCTCAAGCCACCAGTATGGTGGTGTGTGTTTGTGCATGTGTGTGTGTGTATGTGTGTGTGTGACATATGTTTTTGTTTTTTGGAAAAAATACTCATTCTCTTTAACTTACTGGTTTGCTATCTGTAAAATAGAAACAATGATGTGTATTTTTCCGAGTGGTTACAAGATTTGAATATATGTAATGGTTTAATACTATTGGCACACAGCAAGTGTCCAGTAACACATTAATTTCTTAATTTATAAAATTAAAGAATTGCACTTGATTATGAGAATTGTTGTCTGCAAATTTTAGCGTGCCTTGAATTATCTGTATGGTATAAAACACAGATCGCAGCTCCCACTCAGATTTCTGAATCTGGAGTGGTGCCTGAGAATTTGCATTTCTAATAAATTCACACATGATGCTGATGTTCCTGGTCTGGAAATCACACAGAATCACTGCACTAGAAAATTTTCATGTTTAAGCTCTTTCAGATTAAAAGAAACATATACTCTTAATTCCACCGATGCAATTTATCATAAGGTTACACATGAAAGTAAGAAAACTAATACACTTTCTCAATAGCTAAACAATTCAGCATGCATAAAGAAATGAGACATCATTCACAGTAAGTCTTAATTGCTTCAAAGACTCAGATATTTAACTTACTTCTGTCTCATTGTATATTCATCTAGGTCTATTTTAGCTAATGACTTTTTTTTCACACTTACTTCTCCTTCTCAATGGCCTTTGTACTTTTATTTTTGCTATGTCAATTTATCAAAGTTGTGGTGTTTGAGTTTCCCACTCTTCCTATTATTTATGCTTTCCTCCCAAAAAGGAATTGACTAGATTAGTCACTCTTCAACAATGTGTCCTTACTGGACACTTTTCTTAAAATAGGACATTTCCCAGGTTTAGGGGAAATTTAATAATTGCTTCCTTGAGCTCAAGTGCTGATGCCAAAAACTATAATAGTTTTGGCTAAAACATTTGAACTACATTATACAGAGCATGGTAACCAATGCACAAGGAAGTATTTCCGGCCACTGTATTTTGAAAGGTACTATGAGAATAGTAAATATTAAGAATACCATAGATTCCCTTCCAATAAAATGCCCAGGTTTTTCTGCATTTTAAAAGGTCTATATCTTTTCTTAACTATAAATATGGGAGACAAAAGTGAAAGCCAGATAGACATACAAATACATATACAAAGACTTTTATGCAGTAAACTCAGGCTCAATTCTGACAGATGTTGATATACAAAGGGAGAAGTCAAAATACTGCTATTCAGTAGCAGATAGTTCTTTACTACTATTCATATCTGACAGTACTGTGGCTATTAGGTAGCCCTTGTTAATCACAGAATTTGTCTGTAACCAAGGTTTTTCCCACACAGGAAGGGATTCATTCTCTTCTAGGATTGCTTTCCAATTAGGCTAGGTACTCCTTAAAAAATACTTTTTAAGTTCAGGTTAGTCCTCTAACAGAAGTCGGAAACAAATGAAAAGGAGGAAATAAAGGCAG